TTCTTTTTTTTTTTTTTTTTTTTTTTTTTTTTTTGATGCACTATTGCTCTGTGACTGCCTATTTCAACACACGGCTTGTCTCCGGGAACATTTAGCTTGCAGCAAGCTGGGGTGTGAATTTCCCCCGCACTAGCCTGTCGCTCACTAAGTATCCATGTAGACCCTGCTGCCGCACACTAACAATTCCCTACTGTGCTTTGATCTAGTCCCATTTCAAAGCGGGATAGATCAAAGCGCACTACAGGGTCCACACGGACACTTAGTGTGTGAGGGCTTCCTGCAAACTTAAGTGTTCATGGAGACAAGTCCATAGATTATTCTTTTAAATCTGCACCCTACAGATCATACAGCATGCTTTAGACATGTCCACCAGGCCTCACCCACACGTACTCACTTCTTTGAGGTATATGCTTTACTTCCAAAACTGCATACTGAGGAAAAGATCTTCCCCTTAATCAAGAGTAAGATAGTTAACCTATGAAGGGTCACTTTTAAGTGGTGGTCTCATCTACGAACAAAGTCATCATCATTCACTCCTGGTTATGCTGTAGGTTTATGAGAGAAGCACTGTACAGATGAGATCTTTGCTTTAGTTAACACGATAAAAAATAATTTCTTACCCTTAAATGTGCTCTAGACTGAGAAGACATTACAAGCCTTTGGGTAGTTTGAATTTTGACGTTTGCTAGGTTTTTTGAAGATGCAAAATATGTTGACGCCAGTAACTGTGGAAGTGTCTTGTGTGGGCACAAGTAAACAAGGCCTATCACTGACCTATAGCTTGTATTATTCATGGTGTCTAGGTATATGGAGAATAGTCGTGGGTTTTTTGATAGAGATCCTATATGAAGAACATTGACTTTGGGGATAACTTAATATACAGCCATGGTGGTTTGACTAAGTTTCCACTCTGTTCCTCTCTAGGTTGGATCTGACAGCATCATTGGTTCATCCACGCAGGTTGGAGAGAAGACATCCATTAAACACTCCATCATCGGCGCCACATGCACCATAAAAGACAGAGTTAAAATAACTAACTGCATCATCATGAACTCTGTCACAATTGAGGAAGGGTATGTTACTTCTCTGTATCTCCCTGTCCTAAGCTGCTTGTTTCCCTCTCGTAGCAAGGCACTGGGATGCTGGCTGGCCTGTGAGAGGCTCCCGGCCATGGCAATTGGTCTCAGGAAGAAGCTAGTTTCTCATCTCCTGTGGGATGTAAGAATGAATCAGAAATAAGTTTTGTGTAGTATCAGTAGGACGCTAATAACAAGGGAGAGAGTTAACTAGAGGGGTCCAGATGGGGAGGATTAATTCCATCCCATCCTTCTGGAGAGCCTGTCATCTGCACAACTTATTTTAAGTCATATAGATGGAATGGATTCACTCGTCTGTATGAGGTTAGGTCGAATCCTTCCAGTACTGAAGGCTTATTTTAACGGCTTAGACTTTAAGATTTTTGGTATAAATATCTGCATACTCCTATAAAGCTGCTGATTTTAAAAAATTCCACATTTACCAATAAAAATCTTCCTACGGCCTTGGTATTTTGAGAGCCTCCACTGACATTCTCTTAGGTCTTTTCATTGTCATCTTAAATCTTTACATTAGCATTACAGTTGCTGGAAAACAGGGCAAATAAATAAGCTTTCCCAAAAGGAAATCTGTCATCCAGTAGAGGTTCCTTGTGTAGGAGACCCTAGCTAATGAAGGGGTATCCACACAAACAGTCACCACTGATACTTGGATGTTTAAAAATGAGACCTCCTCTGTCTTGACACCATTAAAATTCTAGCTGGTCACTATGGCAGGATAGAAGCAGACTCGTTAACTCATTAGCCTCATTAATTTGTTAGCCTGGCATGCTGGAAGGGCTTGCAAACTGTAAAAGATTAAACCAATAAAAATGAACAGTTTTGAAGCTAGTTGATCTTTCATCCTGCTTCAGTACTTCCTAAACCTGGAAAATCAGTCATTACTTGCAACGTCCTCTTCATGAGAGGATCTGCTTCGCAGATCGGAAGAAGAATCAGCCCAGTCATCAAATGATTCCCAGACTTATCTTCCACAGATTCCCCCTGTCCCCCAATACACACACGTTCTGGAGCTCCTGTTCTCTCATGTATCGGGGGGTAGCCGTGTTAGTCTGTATCTACAAAAACAACAAGGAGTCTGGTGGCACCTTAAAGACTAACAGATTTATTTGGGCATAAGCATCTGAAGAAGTGAGGTTTTTACCCACAAAAGCTTATACCCAAATAAATCTGTTTAGTCTTTAAGGTGCCACCAGACTCCTTGTTGTTTTTGTTCTCTCATGAGGGTCTTTGAGAAGTGACCTAGGTGCATGTAAACATTGCTTTGTATGATGTGTGTTATATATTCAAGGAGGAGCTCACTCTGCTCTTAGTCTCCAAGGTAGATGATATTTATCCCATTTGTTTGTGTTGTGCTACTGAAACATCCCTTGACTCTTCAGTGAGGGGAAAATGACTAACCAGTTGCTGCCTGAAAGTTCCCACCTCCTCTTACAAGCCGGCTTCCTATGGGTGTCAGTGGAAAAGAAACTGCTCATTAGAGTCTATACAGGCCTTTATTAATTCCCTGCTCCTTCATGCCATGAGGTTTGCTGAGGGTCCTTGTGGGAGAAGTCAAACCCTTAAAAAATGCCAAGTTGGCTCTCACGGTCACATGCTTGAAAACAAAAAAACAAAGGATGTTGGGTCAGTGGAGAATACTACTGTTACAGAGCTAAATTACAGGTAAGTAAGTATGGTACATCACTGCCAGGCATTTAGTCTTTAATAGAAATACACAGTAATTTCAAGCACATTATAAACCAGAATTCCTTGGTGTGTAGATAATAGCTGGTCTCCAGTTCACTTGTAAATGGCTCCAGTATGGCAGTCTCATAGAATTCGCCGTCCTCTAAGTACCAGGAAATACTCTGATTTGACAACGAGCTACGCTGTTGTCTTGATTAATCGATTGGTACCACGGGCATTCTGGCAGGGTTTTGCATACGAGGTAAGCCGCTCTACGGTGAAATCACAAAGGGGGCTAAATGTATAAATAGGTAGCTAACAAAATCCCCATGTGTTCCTCTGCATTGAATATACAGCAATGTTCTGTTCTAAACCCTCAATAGGGATTGTTATCAGAATCATCCCAGAAAGGGCTTGATAAAATGATGTCTTGTGGACAGAAAATCAGTAAACTCTGGCTCTTCCGTACCAGCAGAGGGAATGATTTTCTCACATGGGGACCATCCAGTGACAATGTTCTGCCTCCAGTCCCCCAAAGCTGTGCTAATGAGTTCCAGTAGAAGTGCCACAGCATATCGAAGCCATGTTGGTGTTGCATAGGAAGAGAGGCAGTCCTAAGGCAAGCCAGCTCCATCACCAGGTAGGTTTTTAGATATTAGACATGACACCTTTGAATAGCACCTTGAAGCAGATGGATGTGCTGTTTATAGAACACAGGTATATTGTTGCAAAGTTTGTATCAAGGAAAGGAGAGAGAGCTAACTTAGCTAACCAAAAGATGTAAAAGTCAAGTGAGCCACTGCTGCTCCTTGGGAATCCAAGAGCTGATGGGTGCCCCAAAGTAGCCCAACATTCTGAGCCTATCGGCAAGGTGTGTTGATACTCTAGGGACACGTGTCACTGCCCTTGGCAATACCTTTTCTTGCTTCCCCTTGCCAACCGGTCTTCACCACTCACATTTCTGGATTGAACCTCCGCTAGTTCATTTTTTCCCTGGTTCAGATCTTTGCCAGGTATAGGGAAAGCAGAGAAGCTGCCCCCATCTGAATCTGATTGAAAGGTAATGTAGAATGATCCCTAGATATTACAGGGATGGTTGCCTTAGAAATACAAAAGAAAAACAGATGAGCATTGTCAACATTTTGGTGGCACTGCAGCCCAAAATACTTCAGTCTAACGGTTCCATGTGCCTGCTGAACTGGAGCTGAGAGAGAGGCCCTGTATGAGAGGTCCTTTAAGGCTGCTGAGCAGCTACTCCATACTACCCACTGAGGCCTATCAGAAAGAAGGGAGAAGAGTTACCGAAAACCAAGCCCATGCACCCTACCTGGTCTCTTGGGCTCATCAGCAACAGCTCATGATCCGCCAAATCAAGAGCTACCGGAAAAACTCATAAAGTCAACATGCATACCCAAACTTGTGAGCTGGATCAATTGGTGACAACAATTCAGTCCCCGTGTTATGGCCAGTCCTGACATCGGAGTGTTAGGGATCTAGAGAAGTCGGAGTGATTTAGATCAACCTGGAGCCGCCTCACTGTGACCTTTCTAATAACTTTGCCCGAAAAGGAATGTTTATGGCAGCGCACTCATGGCAAGAGCACAATCACCAAAGGGTGGTTTCTTGAGCAAGGGCCTAGTCAGCATTCGGTTAAGGGATATTGCCCTCCTTGAAGGAACCATTCATGATCCCTGTCAGTGAAGGAGGTACAAATCTTCCAGCATCCATGGGCACCTGGCTCCATCTTGCCGGTTAGCGCAGTAATAGCCCACCTGGGGGTGAAGCCAGAGGCACTCCGAAGAACCTGCATGAACACTGTAGAGTCTGGTTACAGTGTTTGAGGCCAGCCTCAGAGGCTTTGATTCACTAAATAAAGTGCAAGGGAGGCCAGGAGGTTTTTCTCTGAAACTCCTGGGCACCATCACCTTGCACTTCCACGAGATAGTGCAAATGGTAGTGATTACAGTGCGAATCCAAGATGCTGTAGGAACTGCTGCATTTCCTGATATTTAAGGATTCACAAAATTCCATTTCCCAACCAAAGAGTTTTTTGGAAGCCTCCTCGTGAAATTTAACACCAGCTCTTGGAGACGGGTAAATAGCTTCCATGGGAGCAGATGGGACTGTCACAAGGTGCATCCTCATAAAACTGGATTGACATTTTGAGGTTGTGGTTAGCTAGTCATGCAAAAAACTGAGGTAATCACCTGGATGATACTTCCAGACTGAGACAACTTCTTCCAAAAGAAATAAACGGAGGAATTTTGGGCCCTGTTGTACAGCGGCATCTTCATACTGTTTTCAGATTTCGATCAATTTCTCCATTGATGATTTACATAGATCAGTCCGGCAGACCAAAAGCAGTTTTATTGTGGAATCTTCAGAAGAAAGCAGGTGTAGTACGAAGTTATTCTGTAACCTGGCTCTTGTTAAATGATTTGGGTGGACATGAATCCCTGTCATAAGAGATTACAAAAGGATTAAAGAAGTTAATAATGTAGGGGAAATAATCAGCAGTTCCTCCTTAATGTGTTTCCCACTGCACAGCTAATTCTTCCATCAGTTAGACAATAAAATAACAAATATTACATATGTGCTGAATGATGGACATGCTTGACCACGTTTGGAGAGACGGGCAGCTGAAAGCTGGTAGAGGAGGTAATTCATAGAACAGTGCAAGCGCTGAGAGATGCTGAGTGCCCAGGTGACATGCTGCAGCATGGAAAATGTTCTTGTTCCCTCAGGGCTCAGTGACAAATGACTGCACTGAGTTACATAGAGGAAAACTACTAATCGAGCTGAAATAATAGGTCATCTGAAAACTCCTGCCTCTCTAGCTACACTGCACAGTAGCTGTGGGCATCTTCAATCTGTCCAGCAGCTGGGGCTGACCTTTCTACTTATTGTTTTGGTCGGGGTGGAGGAGGTGCCGTACCACGGGGTTCTGAGATTTGTGTGTGTGAAAATCTGTGATGTAAAAGTCCTCTGACTACAGATCATGTATAGTGCAAGCACCCACAGCAGTGCCATCCTGATGACAATTGAAACTGGTTACCTGGGGAGACGTTGCTGATTACAGAGAGAGCTGGTATCACTAAGCTCCATCCTGATCCCTCTGCTGAACAGAAAGTACTGCTTGTAAATAACCAGCATGATGCTGAACTGAGCTCCCTAAACTTGTTTCATGTAGTGCCTCGGAAGTAGACTGGAGCTGTGGTCGCTTACATAGATCATCGCTCCCAGCAGTTCCCAGCGAAGCTTGACTTCTCTGAAAATCAGGCCACTTATTTAGGTGTTTTAATATGGATTTA